CGGTGACGCAGTACCCCGGAATGGTAAAACAGACGGCCACAATTGCTTGGAATTTGGCAATTCGAAAAGCCAATTGATACGCACTATATTCTCCCTCGATAAAACTGTAATAAACCCTGTATTGGAAGAGATTGTTGGAGTAAAATGCGATGTCGACGAGGAACCAGGAAGTGGCACAGCAGAAGAGGTCGCGGCCGTGGCAACGGAAGAATTGCTTAGAAAACAGGGAATATGTCGATGGAAACAACGGTATCGGTGCATCTTCCGAAATTTGATTCAGCGGAACGTTTAACACTGTTCCAATATCAACCGCTGCCTGCAGAGGATCTCTCTCCACTAGTGCCGTAAACCTGTTGATTAATTGAAGTTTTCAACGAAAGCCAAAAGGATTAAAATAGCTTTGTTTTCCAACTAAATAAGATTAAGAATAGAGATTTCAATTTTTTTTTTACTATTAATGTTTCCATATATAGTACAGACCAAAAGAATGATTCTTTTTTTTTTTAGTAATAATCCTTAATTCAGATGCTCTATATCTGGATATGCTCTCTTTCAAAGATTAAAAAGAAAAACAAAACAAAACTGAGTAAGTTGTTAGACGATCCTGAAACTGTTTGATAATTTTTTTAATTATAAATCCATTTTTTCCTTAAATTTATTTTTTAATATAAAAAATGATAATTTTATAATCATAATATAATGTAATATCATATTAAATTGTACATATATTATATAATAATATTATGTTATACAATTATAAATATAACACTACATGTGCATGTGATAATAACTGTATTATTTTTATATTTTGAGTAATTATAAAAAGATTTTTTTCAAAATTATAGTCAACAAGGTTAAACATGGCTTAAAGTTCTGTACAATAAAAAAAAGACATAGCTTAAAGTCATTTTGACATTTTCTTTATTTGTTGGTTCAAAACTAAGGCAGCGGATGTCTGACCAATAGCAAGGAAACAGGTAGTAAATTTAAAAAATGAAAGAAAAGAAATGACATACCTAGCAGTTTCCGGCATCAACATCCGCCAATAATAAGTCAATGCAGCCGGAACGCTGCCCATCATCAGAATCAACCGCCACGAGATGTCGGCAGTGTCCGGTATATCATCTTTTGACGCAGGCGATACTTTCTGAAATATGGAGCAAATCACCATTGTCACAGCCGAGCCCGCCAAAATCCCAAACCCCTGCATCGAAAATACTGCAGCTATGAACGCTCCACGGGTCCTCCTGTTGGCAAACTCCGACATGATTGTTGCCGACAACGGGTAGTCTCCCCCTATACCCAACCCGAGCAAGAACCGGAAGAACCCCAGACTCAACAAGACACAAAGTCTTGTCCTGCAAATGGAGAACCCGCATGCAAGAGAACTAAGAACCATGATCATCAGCGACAGTCCATACACACGGCGCCGCCCTTTGTAATCACCAAGGATTCCAAACATGAGTTGACCGATCACTGTGCCTACAAGGGCGACGGCAACCAAGGCGGAGGTGACTTGAATGGGGACTTCTTTTTTGTCATCTTTGTTGTCATAGTATAGGGCTCCAAGGATTTGGACTATGGGAGGGATGCAGAAGAGATCGTAGGCGTCCGTGAAGAGACCCATGCCAGCGATGACTATGGCCTTGAAATGATAATATTGGGTTCTCGCGGCGTCAAGCGCAGAAAGTACCCTTAACGGCATAGTTTTGGCTGGTAATGAATGGCTAGCTAGCTAGGAGGAAGAAAGATGTGAGATTGTGAGGAATTGAAGTTGTGTTATGTATATAAATATATGTTCAAATAACAATACAACAACCAGAATGATTTATGGGAGAGAAGCTTATGCATCCCTGGGATACCACATCAGTCGTATTTCGAGCCAATAAAAATATACCATTTCAGCATTTTTGTTTCACATTTCATCAATCATTTGATGAAAAAAGCAGAGATGGCATGCTTTTATTGGCGGACGTAATACAACAAAATTTTTCGATTTATGGAAACTGGAAAGGGACTAAGAGAGATGGAAGGTAATTTCGTGGATGTGATCGGAAGGGAGGCTGCTGACTTTGGACAAAGGATTCCGTCGATGATTCGAAGGAAGATTCGAATCAGATGATGGAGGAGTATTCATACGATGTTTCATATGATGGAGGACTGTGATAAAATATCAAAGTCAGATAAGTTACATCCTGTCCTGTTGTATACACAAACGCTTATGGAATTATCATATCAACAGCGGATTAGGTTTAGAAATGGGGATGACACCACAGATTTAATCGCGTAATGACAAAAGGTGTCAGATTTATGTTACGATCTTCCTAATCCGTGTGGACCTCTTACAATTGTTCCAATTTGGATGATTGGATCTTCATTAACAACGGTCCACCGAAGGTATTTGCCACGAATGGCGAAGAATTTCTTCTTTAAAATTGACAGAATCATGAAATTTAATTGGTTTTAAAATTATGGTGTGTTTTATTTTTGTATTATGTTATTATTATTTTAAAAAAAGTTTGATAACTTACAAAAAATAAAAGAGAAATACTTGAAAATTCAAGTGTGATGCACGATTGTTAATATATATATATAAATTTTTTTTTTTTTGGTAAAAATGCACGATTGTTAAATTCTGTACCGCAGTTGCGGTCATGATACTTTAAAGCAATTCCTAACTAGCTAGCTATATATCAAAACCTATATAAAACCACTCCATTGTCATCCTCTTCATCTCCATCAGAAAAATTGACTGTTTTAAGCTTCGAAAATGGCTATGCTCTCATCCTCTAAAATCTTCCTCATTGCCTTTTCCATGTCTTTACTCTCGTTTTCATCTTTAGCCCACGATTATTCAATAGTGGGCTATCTTCGGACGATCTAACCTGCATGGATAAACTCATGGAGCTCTTCGAGTCCTGGATGGACAAACATGGAAAGATTTACGAGACCATCGAAGAGGAATTGCGTAAATTTGATGTTTTCAAGGACAATGTCAACCACATTGATGAAACCAACAAGAGGGTCAGCAATTATTGGCTCGAATTGAACGAATTTGCTGACTTGACCCACGAAGAGTTCAAGAGTTTGTATCTAGGTCTGAAGCAGGACTTGGCCTGACGGCGGAGGTGGTCTGCAGGCAATGGAGATTTCACTTACAGGGATGTCGTGCATTTGCTCAAGTCGGTTGATTGGAGAAAGAAAGGTGCGGTAACTCGCGTGAAGAACCAGGGGTCGTGCGGAAGTTGCTGGGCGTTTTCGACAGTGGCGGCGGTGGAAGGCATAAACCAGATTGTCACTGGAAACTTGACGGAGTTGTCGGAACAAGAGCTGATCGATTGTGATACCACGTACAACAACGGGTGCAATGGAGGTCTCATGGATTATGCATTTTCCTTCATTGTTTCCCGTGGTGGGCTTCACAAGGAGGAAGACTACCCCTATATCATGGAGCAAGGAACATGTGAGATGAGAAAGGTATATATGCACAAACAAAGCTCAAACCCATACAATCGAAACCCACAATGAATTGGGCTTAGGACCATATGTTGTATAGCCATTTTGATTTTGATTTTATTTTATTTTATTTATTTATCTAGGATGAATCTGAGATGTATAAGTGGGTATAGAGATGTGCCTGCGAACAATGAAGCGAGCTTGTTGTAGGCACTGGCAAAACAACCTGTAAGCATGGCCATTGAGGTTTCCGGGAGAGACTTCCGATTTTACAGTGGGGTAAGTAAATAAATTGAGCTCGAGTTGTTTGTTAAGGACTCTATTCTTCTGTATATTATAATTGACGTGACATGTTTCAATAGGGTGTAGTGTTTGATGGGCATTGTGGAAGTGAACTAGATCATGGAGTTGCTGCCGTTGGGTATGGTTCAACCAAGGGTTTGGACTACATCATTGTGAAGAATTCTTGGGGAACCAAATGGGGAGATAAGGGTTTTTTTTTTTATCAGCAAAAAGAAATTTATTAAATGGAGTACAAGGGGTACTCCTGCTCACTTACAAGATTGAAAGAGAAATTAAACCAACAAAACTCCCTAGCTAACACGCCATGAAGTAAAAGACCTAAAAGACACCCACTAAGAAGATAACAGATTAGGCCATTAGATGCCCCTTGCAGCAATGCCTGCGAGGAACCACATTACCCAACCCCAACGAATCGTTCACTAGCACACACGCAACACCTTGAAATTGAACTCTATCCTCATAATTCCCCCTGGTTCAGCACTTGATACATCTTCTTGTAGTTCCTTAGATTCTTGCCATGTTGAACTATGGTCCTCTTGCACTCCGACGGGCGTAAAATCCAATATGTATAGGAAAAACTACAGCCTTGTTCCTTGCTTTTTAGCTAGAAAAAAGATTTAGACTGAATAGAATCCAATATTTGGTCTTCGAACCTTTCACCTGCCCCAAACACCTTCAAATTTCTCCAAAACCAAACATACCAAGCAGTAACCAAAAAAACAAGAGTCCTTACCTCCGTCCAGCACCCTCCGTTGATTCCAGCCACCACAACATCTGCCAATCTGAAGACATCTTTTGGCAGAAGACTCTGGACCCCCCACCAACCCAAAACCTTCATCAAAACCAACCAAACTGCTTTACAATCACAAAAAATATGCTGGAGATGCTCAACACCCTCATGACAAAGCCCACAACAAACGTTCCCCTTTGGTACAACAACCCCTCTCCGACACAAGTTATCCTTTGTAGCTAACCTGTTCAAAAATAATCTCCACAAAAAAATACTCAATTTGGAAGGAACATACTTACCCCAAAGAACCCTAGACCATTTCTCATCCAAAATAAAACACTTTGGTGATAAAAAGTCATAAGCCTTCTTAGCCGAATATACATCATTAGCACTATGTATTCAGCTCCAAGAATCAGCCTTTCCCCTATGCAACCCAACCTTATTTATCAACTCCCTAAACTGTTCTTCCTCCCCCACTCCCCTCCCTACACAATTACGCCTCCACCTACAATCCCATATCCAAGTTTCAGCACTCCACAACCCCATATCCTTTAACAGTCCCTCCCTAATATTAGCTAATGCATACAACCGAAAGAATAAATTTCGTAATGGTTTATCCCCCACCCATTTATCGTGCCAAAAGTCTACACAACTCCCATTCCCCACTTTCCACTTAAAACCTTTTCCTAACATTGCTTCTAACCGTTCCGACCCTCTGCCGAGACCCACAATGTTCTTCCACACACCTGACATATTCCAAGTCACGACTGACATAACATCAGCCTCCATTCTACCCCCATAATATTTCTCCCAAAGAACCTGCTTCCATAAACCATCAACACCATCACCTAGCCTATACCACCATTTTCCCAACAAACTACAATTCCTCATCTCCAAATCAGCGACTCCTAAGCCACCTCTCCCCTTATCCATACACACGTACTCCCAACTAACCCATGCAATTTTCCTATCCAAATTAACACCCCCCCAAAAGAAACTTCTTTGAATTTTAATCATCTCGCGCAATACATATTAAGGGATCTTAAATAAAGATAAATAAAATATAGGGAGAGCAAAGAGTACCGAGTTGATTAAAGTTATTCGACCTCCGAACGACAACAAGGGGCTTTTCCAGGAGGCAAGCTTCTGGCGGAAATGGTCCAGCACTGGGTTCCAAAACTGTCTTCTCCCTGAATTCCCTCCTACTGGCAAGCCAAGATAAGTAAAAGGCATTTTGCCCACCCCACAACGCATAATATCAACTGCGCCTTTAACCCACCCTTCCGACACATTGAAGCCATACAAATAGCTCTTCCCAAAGTTGATCTTCAACCCTGAGATCAATTGAAACCAATTTAGAATGGCCTTCACAACTCGTAAATTATCAACATCAGCTTTCCCCATAAACACCGTGTCATCCGCAAACTGTAACAATGATAACACCATACCTCCCCGTCCAATCTCGACACCCTTCAAGAGTCCTTCACTCTTCGCTTTTTTGACAAGCCCACACAAACCTTCCGCAACTAATAAAAACAAACAAGGTGACAGGGGATCACCTTGGCGAAGACCATTGCTAACTGGAAATTCAGTCATCGGACTTCCATTTATTAAAATGGAGATTCTCGCAGTTGAAAGACACTCCCACATCCACTTCCTCCACTTCACCCCAAACCCCATTCTATTCATCATCCAATCAAGAAAGCCCCAGTCCACACAGTCGTAGGCTTTCTCAAAATCCGCCTTTAAAATGAAGCACTCTTGCTTCCTCCATTTCACCTCATGCACAACCTCATTCAGAACTAACACACTGTCAACTAGTTGCCGACCTCCAATAAAAGCTGCTTGAGACTCACTGATAATACCCTCCATAACCATCTTCAACTGATTGGCCAATACCTTAGCCAGTAATTTATATAGACAACCTATCAGGCTAATAGGCCTATACTCCTTGAATTGCTCAAGATTAAACTTTTTTGGTATTAATGCCAGAAATGAAGAATTTAAACCGTTGACTAACCTCTCATTGTGGTGAAATTCCGTCACAAAATTCACAAAGTCTTCCTTCACGGTGCTCCAGGCAAACTTTACAAAGTTAAAATTAAAACCATCTGGACCTGGAGCCTTGCAGCCATCACAATCATTTAGCCCCTCTTCAATTTCCTCTATGGTAAAAGGTCGTTCTAGCCATTCTCGTTGTGCCTCTGAAATTCTCCGGAATTGAATCCCATCCATCGTCGGTCGGCGCCACTGTTCATTCTGAAATACCTTAGTGAAGTACTTCACTGCCTCCGCCTTAATAAGCTCAGGTTCCTCAACCCACCCATTATTGCCGTAGATACCTGAAATTGTATTTTGAGCCCTCCGAGCATGCACACTCCTATGAAAAAATGCTGTATTTGCATCTCCAAAGCTAGCCCAATTAGCTCTTGATTTCTGTTTCCATACTAATTCTCGCTGCTTTAATGTATCCCCCAGCTCCTGAAAAGCCTCCCTTCGCTGCTTCACCTCGGCCTCATTCAACCCTTCCACCTCACATTTTTTATCCAGCCTCTCAATCTCATTCCTCAATTTGTCAGATCGGACCTCCACATTGCCAAACACCCTGTCATTCCACCTTTTGCATTCCTCTTTTAACAATTTCAACTTCTGCTTGCACTTGTAGGTTGCCCATCCTTCAATCTGCATCGTCTTCCATCTTTCATTTATACACTTTCTAAAATCATTATGTTGTTGCCATACATCGAGTACCCGAAAGGGCTTGGGACCCCAACCAACACTTCTTGATTTCAAAATAATTGCACAGTGATCTGAGATTGACCTTCAAATGCCCTCTTGAATCCAATCTCCCTCCATTAAACTCATTTCAGTGGATAGCAAGAACCTATCGAGTCTACTCATCGACGTTCCATCCGGTCTATACCATGTAAACTTTCTATTCCTCAACCGGATATCTACCAATCCCATCTCTTGCACAAAAAGATTAAATTCTTCCATGTCCTGAGTCTCACCCATCCTCCCTTTCCTCTCTTCACTATTACGAACAACATTGAAATCCCCTGCCAAAAGCCATCTCCCACCCTCGTCCAATACTAACCTGCTCAATTCCCCCCACAACACAACTCTGCGTTGCTTGTCGCACGGCGCATATACATTAACAAAAGTGCATTGAATCCGTTGATGACCCCACTCCCCTGAAATCCCGATGAAACCTTGACCTTCAACTACCCCCTGTTTCACAAAATTCCTCTTATTCCATATGCACAGCAAACCACCCGAATTACCATTTGATTTTTGCATCACCCATTCAAAATCATCTGAGTTCCACACTAACCGACACACAGACGTCTCAATTTGTTCAAGCTTTGTTTCCTGAATAAACAAAAAATCTGGATTCTCCTTTCTTACTAACTTAGAAATCTCTTATCTTCACCACACTACCCAAACCCCTAACATTAAATGAAATAACCTTCATAAGTAACTTCCATACCTCACCAGTCGACATCCACACAGATCCATCAGGTTATGCCTCCTTGAAGCTCGCCACCTTTTCCTTTTCCAGCGTGACCGACCGAGACAACACTTCTTCCTCATTTTGTTGACACTTAACCCCTAGTCTTTGCCCCAACGTGAACAACTTCTGCACCTCATCCAACTGGATCTGTTGCCGAATCACTCGGTTTCTATTCTGGATACACCCATCGGACAGAGAGAAGCTTCTCGTCTACAGCTCTGGCTTAGGTTCCTCTCGGTTGGCCTTGCTTCTTCGATCCCTTTTGCATTTTGTTCTTGCAGTTACCCAACTTGCCTCCCCTGCTTTTAATTTTGCCTTCCCATCCATTGCAGCCCCGATACCCTCATTCCCCGCATATATTGCCCCTAAATCTCTGCTCTTCTTCTTTTTTTTTTTTTCCTCCTGTTGCTGAAGCAAACCATTACAAGTCAAAAACCCACTAACACACCCACCTACAACCCGTTGCTCACCAGACCTCATTGCTGCTGGCCCAACCATGTCCACACCCTTCGGCCCAATTAAATCATTTGAATGTCGCCTTTCATGGCTTCATCCTCTCCGCAAAATCCAGTAGCAATTAAGCCAGATTCGCTGCCATCATCACTGGAATATTCTGAGACTGATTCTGACGTCGGATTCCTCCGCTCCCCAGCCAACCACCAGTCGGATCCATCCTCCACTCCTTCTCAGCCACTTCAATCGGATAAGCTTCATTACCAACCTTCAAGAGTATTGTTGCTGAAATTTTAGCCCTTGTTTCATACAGAATGAAAACCCGTCCTTCACACAAAAATGATTTGCTCTTCGTGTCTTCATCCACGAGTATGACCTCGCCAATTAATCCCCTTAGCTCGGCAAAGCATCGCTCGCTCCATGAATGTAAAGGGACAACGGAAAATTGCAGCCACGCCAAACGACTTGCAGATGAAACCGTGGATAAGGATGTTGGTTGCACCCATTCAAACCATAACTCTGTTAGCTCCTTATTATTCTCTATGAACTCCACAAGACATCCTTCTGAATTATCAACCAAAATGATCTGTCTACCTCCTAACAGTGCAACATTCACCATTAAACCATCAACATCCATCCTATGTTGAATTTGTCTCACCATATCTAGAGACTGGACCATAGCCACCTTACTCCTATTCAACCAAGCCACTTCCTCATCACTCGGCAAGAATTCTAAAACCAAATTGCCTTGTATAGGAGACGATGCTTTGGCTACCCCTTCTGTTATCAATGGCATAGATAGTTTCTCTGAGGTTTTTTCAGGCATCACTGCAGAAGCCTTCATCGAGAAACCCTCCAATGCATTCCCGTCTGCTGTTTCCTCCATCTCTCTTGTTGCCATCAATTGTCTATCCCTCTTGTTCGAGGACAAACCTTCCGCAATTGCACCCGGACTAGCAGCAACAGCCTGTGCATACGACCTCCCAAGTCTCACCCTCGCATCCCTTTTGACCCATTGTTTCTCTTCCCTTCTGTTTTGAGCCACCCTAAACTCAACCTTCCCTTTTTTCATATTCTCTGCCACCTTCACCTTAAGGTGATAGGAGTCCAGCCAAATCTGGTTTAGTCTCCTCTCCATGTCCTTGACATCAAAGGCACCCGCCATACGCTCTCCATGTCCTTGACATCAAAGGCACCTGCCATACGCGCGAACCCAAACCGACGACCTTTTCGATCGCGCCTTGTGGGAATATACACATCCACCACCTTCCCATATGACCAAAAACAGAACCACAGATCCTTTGTTGAACGATCCTCTGCGAAATCATAGAAGAAAAATGTTGTAGTCTGCTCTAGGAACCCCTTGCCTAACCCTGGAAGCCGCCTCCGAGCCCCACTGTCCTTGGCTGTCGAGAACCTTGCTCTAACCCTAGCACTCTCTCTCTCTCTCTCTCTCTCTCTCTCTCTCTCTCTCATCTCTCGCATAAAATGGGGGAGAGAAGGGTTACATGAGGATGAAGAGGAATACAGGGAAACCCGAAGGTCTATGTGGTATCAACAACCACATTCTTGTGATTGTTACAACCGTTTTAATGTTTTAATTTTCGTTTGTACTTTGAATTCAAGGATTCTGCTATCCATTTCAACTCTTGTTTCTAGTTTTATTATAAATAGATCATAAAATTTTATACTTTATTAATTTAATTATAAAATTTTCTGGATGAAAGTTTATTAGAAAAATGTAGATTCATAATTTGATAGCTCATAAAATTCCTAGCAAATTTAATTTGCCAAAAATTACAAACCTAAATTAGAAAAACATTTCGCATTTTCCTTCTTAATTTTTT